GTATTTTCGCGACAGCACACGCACAAGGGTGTTCGAACGAATTCGACATGCGCGCGCGAAAAGCCCGTCTGGTAGCATTCTATGAAATTGTCAAAGAATGGTATTCCGAAGAATCCTCGAGAGCGCGAAAGTTAGTTTTGAAAACCCTTGTTGCGAAAACATGTTTTTATGCGTCTGTGCGTGGCTCTCGGTTTTGACCTCCTTACGAAACACAGGGTTGATGAAGGATTCCGGCATGCGCGCGCGACGACGCGAGCATGCGCATTTCGCCCCATTTGTTGCCAGGGGTCTTTGAAAATTAAAATTAGCCTGGCGAAGGACCCAACCATATGCAGTTGTGAGCACCCTCGTTGTATGCACCGGATTCGGAGGAGCTTCTTATAGGGCCACGAAACGTGTGAGGGGTGTGCAAAAAAATGTCCGGCGGGCGCATGCGAAAGCAGCCACTTGGGCCGTCGGTGGAATTACTTATTGGGCCACGAAACGCGTGAGAGGTGTGCCGAAATAGGCGCGGTGGGCGCATGCGAACGCAGCCACTGGGGCCGTGCCGAAGTGGGTGCGGTGCGCGCATGCGAACGCAGCCACTGGCGCCTTCGGTGGAGCTCCCTATGGGGCCACGAAACGCGTGAGGGGTGTGCCGAAACGCGCGTTCCTGACGCATGCGGGCGGTGGCATTGGGGCCTTCGGTGAAGTTCCCTCCCTATGGGGCCACTATGCGTGTGAGGGGTGTGACGACATGGGTGTGGGTGACGCGTGCGGGCGGCGGCACTGGCGTGTTCAGTGGAGCTCCCTATGGGGCCGCGAAGCGCGTGAGTGGTGTGCTGGAATGGGCGTGGGTGACGCATGCGGGCGGTGGCACCGGGGCCTTCGTTGGAGCTCCCTATGGGGCCACGAAACGTGTAAGGGGTGTGACGAAATATGTGTGGGTGACGCATGCCGGCGGTGGCACTGGGATGGGGCCACGAAACGTGTGAGGGGTGTACCGAAATGGGGGTGGGTAACGCATGCGGGCGGTGGCACTGGGGCCTTCGGTGGACCTCCCTATGTGGCCACTATTCGTGTGAGGGGTGTGCCGACATGAGGGTGGGTAACGCGTGCGGGCGTTGGCACTGGGGCCTTCGGTGGAGCTCCATATGGGACCACGAAACGTGTGAGGGGTGTGCCGAAATGGGGGTGGGTAACGCATGCGGGCGGTGGCATTGGGGCCTTCGGTGGAGCTCCGTATGGGGCCACGAAACGCTGTGCTGGGTGGGTGAAACGCAAGGAGGAGGAGGGAGGAGGAGGAGGAAGGAAGGAGGAACGCGGGGACCGTCTCTTCAAAACGAGGATCCAACACCACAGGATGGTTGGGAACTGATGATTATGATAAACGAGTGCGCGCGCATAGTATTTTTTACAGAGGGGGGGGGGGGGGTCGATTTCCGGTCTGCCTGGGATGGTACGAGTTCATATTTGGGATGGACGATGGGGCAGAATTATATTTGAGTTGCAATGCGAAACGGTGGCCCGTCAGGTCGGGCGGGGCGTAGATCTTATTTGTTTTTTGAAAGGAGAACATATGTTGTGCAGTTCATTGTGTGCAGGCTATGTTTTGCAATCTATGTGGAGCAGCCTATGTGACGGCGACGGAGAGGCGACGGGGCGGCGACGGCGGCAACATAGCCGCCGGACCGGCACCCAGGCCCAGACGACAGACGGCGACGAGGCGGCGACGGGGCGGCGACGGCGGCAACATAGCTACCAGACCGGCACACAGGCCCAGACGACAGACGACGACGAGGCGGCGATGGGGCGGCGACAGCGGCAACATAGCCGCTGGACGGGCACACAGGCCCAGACGACGGGCGGCGACGAGGCGGCGATGGGGCGGCGACAGCGGCAACGTAGCAGCCAGATTAGCACCAAGGCCCAGTTCCTCAGAACATAAGCAGGAAACCCTAAGTGCAAGCACTGTTTGGGGAATTTCCAGGAAGCTAGCCCAGGTTTCTCAAATCAGGTACTGCTTGATCATAACTTCGGCTGCATAAGTTACATTACTCCCCCCCTCGGACGCCTTGCTTTTCTTCCGCCGAGAGCGCCTCCCATAGCTGGTTGCTGGGGCTCTCTGGCCGTGCGGAGAGAGAGAGAGAGGGAGAAAGAGAGAGAGAGAGACAGAGACAGGCAGAGAGAGAGAGAGGAAGAGAGAGAGAGAGATATTTATATATATAGAGAGAAAGAGAAGAAAAAAGAAAAACGAGAGAGAGAGAGAGACAGAGAGAGAAAGAGAAATACGTAGCACCCCGCACTTGCGGATAAGATTGAGGGGGCGACGGGGTCGTCGGCAGTCTGCGAGGCTCCGAAAAGAAACCGCCAGAGGGGCCGATTCAATTGTCAAAGCAAGGTGGGTGGGTGTCGAGTGGGTCGTGGGTGGATCGCGGGTGGGTCGCGGGTGGGCCGCGGGGTGGGTCGCGGGGCGGGTCGCGGGTAAGGACGATGACAACAAGAGCATCAACAAAAAACAACGCAGCAACGCAACCACAATCCGCATCGCGGAATCCCGCTTCAACCACGCGCCCAGGAACAATGAATGGCCGTTCGGGCCCCCTCATTCTGACGTGGCACCCCGCAGTTGCGGATAAGCGTGAGGGGGCGGGCGCAGGGTGGGTCGCGGGGTGGGCCGCGGGGGGGTCGCGGGTGGGTCGCGGGGTGTGTCGCAGGGGCGGGTCGCGGGGGGGTCGCGGGCGAGGATGACGACAACAATGCAACAACAACAATCCGCACCGCGGAACCCCACTTCAGCCACGCGCCCAGAGACAGTGAGCCCCTTTACTCTGATAAGGAAAGCCAGGAGGAGGAGGAGGAGGTGGAGGAGGAGGAGGAGGTGGAGGAGGAGGAGGACGAGGAGGAGGAGGAAGAGGAGGAGGAGGTGGAGGAGGAGGAAGTGGAGGAGGAGAAGGAGAACGAGGAGGAGGAGGAGAGGGTGGAAGAGGAGGAGGAGGAGGAGGAGGAGGAGGTGGAGGAGGAGGAGGTGGAAGAGGAGGAGGAGGAGGAGGAGGAGGTGGAGGAGGAGGAGGAGAAAGAGAGAAGTATATACCCAGACGTCCTCCGATGTGCTTCGCCTCCGTGCGCCGCCCCAGAGGTCCCGCCCCTTCCCCCTGGGGCAGTTTTTTGTTCCCTCGGCTCCATGCTTGATGGCCCCCCGGCCCGGAGGCCGAGATTCACCGAGCGCGTTCCGCTACTCGCAAAGTGCCTACTCGCAAACGTCCGCAGAAAACACACATGTCTGCTTCGATGCAGGTTATCGTAGATCCCCCGCGGGGGCATCCAGGCCATTTGCGAGTGGTCACGTTGCGAGTGGTGGACCGCGTTAGTCTGGCCTGGATGGGGAAAGGGCATGTCGTTCGGATGATGGCATCCAGCGTGGGCCCCAAACCGTGAGTTCTTGCACTGTGTGTGGTGCACGGGCGGCACGGGGGCGGCACGGGAGCGGCACGGGGCGGCACGGGGCGGCACGGGGTGGCACGGGGGCGAAAAGCCGGCAGGCATGGCCAGATGGCTGGAACCCCTAGGTGCAAGCACCTGTTTGGGGAAGATCAGAGGTAACAAATCTACCCCCTCTCCTGGGGTGTGCTCGGTCCAGAATCTCGTGGCGGATGCAGCCGCTGCCGCGAGGGCGCCCTCAGGACGACCAAAGACCTCCACAGAGTGAGCCCCTGGAATTTTGGCCCTTGCACATCAGATCGTCGGAGATCTGGGCAGATAACCCCAGGAAGCAATCAGTAAACCCCCCTCCCCCTCCCCCTCATCAGAGGAAATTATAACGCTTCCGGCACCGGGGCCGGGGCGGAAACGATATCCCCCACAGGTCACCAGAGGTCCGCGGAGGGGAGGTCCCCGGAGGTTCCCAGGAGGCATCCAGAAAGGCCTCCACAAGCCTCTGAATGTCCGGTCCCCTTGTAGTCCAGAGCCCAGCGACAAGGCACACTTGCCCAGAGTCCACACTGATATCGAGGTGCGCTTCGCCAGATACACTCGGCCGCTGCTGGGCGACGGGCACGCTGCACCGCTGGGGTTCACTCGCGAGGCCGTGCCGTGCGCCCGTGGGGGGCCCCCGGCAGCTCTCACGAGAGGAGGTTCTCGTCAAGCCTTGACGAGCACCTCCCCCCTCCTCCTCCTCCTCCTCCACCTCCTCCTCCTCCTCCTCCTGCTCCTGCTCCTGCTCCTCCTCCTCCTCCACCTCCTCCTCCTCCTCCTCCTCCTCCTCCTCCTGCTCCTCCTCCTCCTCCTCATCCTCCTCCTCCTCCTGCTCCTCCTCCTCCTCCTCCTCCTCCTCCTCCTCCTCCTCCTCCTCCTCCTCCTCCTCCTCGTTGGCTGTTTGTGGTCAAGGGTGCTCTGTCAGTCCAGCCGCCTCCGGAAAGTTCCGCCACCGTGCCATCGCAGCAATCTAGGTTTCACTCGGACCTGTCCCTCTACAGGGGGGATATCCAAAAATAGTCAAAAAATAGTCGGGGAATTATTTTTTTGTATTTTTTGACCATGTGGGAGTACTTTTGAGGATGTTTTATTTTTCGTCGGAAATCCCCCTGCAGGGGGACACGCCCGACTTAATCTAGGTGGCAACTACCCCAAGATAGACGCCGTGGCCGCCCAGGGACCCCCAGGAGCAGGGGTGGTGCACGCAACCGTGTGCGATGAGAGGGGTGGGTGGGCCCTTGTGGGAGAGTACAGGACCCCTGCCAGGCAGCAGTGTTAGGGGAACGAACAATGACCACACTCGGAGGTCCTCGCGTATTTCTCGGATCGGCGCTGGACCCCCCTCCCGGGCGCGCGGAGCGCGCCAGGGGCCAGGGGGATCCAGCGCCGATCCGAGAAATTTGCGCGGACCTCCGAGTTTTTATGTTTATGTCATGTCTCGTTCCCCTAATGTTGCCTTCTTCCGCGCCCCAGCGTGCCAGGAGGCACGGTGGCGGATCCTCAAACCAAACAGACAGGCAAACAAAAGCCGGCCGCGCGTGCGCAAGGCGCACGGCTGCCCCTTCCAGCGGGGGCACGAGGGCAGCTACGCCCTGCCCACCCTGCTGGCCCACTGGGGGCTGGCGCCGCAGGAACCACTCCCCCCGCCCGCGGCTGCAACTTAACTGGGTCATGGGAAACGACGGCGATGAAGATGGCGACGAGGAAGCCGGCGACGAGGAAGCCGGCGACGACGAGGCCGAGTTTCGTAGACACTACTAGGACGACCCTCACCCGCCTCCCAGGCGATTCCAGGCACACCCCAAGCTGGCTCCCCCAGAGCGCACAGATGCCCCAGGGCCCCCTCCCTCAGGCGCGCAGCGGGCCACAAGGAATGACTCGACCAGGCTGAACTCGGCGAGGCGAAACTCGGCAAGGCTAACCTCAGCCGGCTGACCTCGGCCAGGCTGACCTCTCGGCCATGCGCAGAGGGGGGTAGGGGGCGGGGCGAAGGCTTCGTAGAAGCACACCTGCTTCTTAGAAGGGACGGGCCTTCTCTGTAGATGTGGGGCCGGCGCTTTCTAAGAAGCACCCTCCTTCTAGGAAGCTTTCCGCCTTCCCGCATGCCTCCGTGTGGGCGCCGCCGATGGAGGCTCAGAGTTTTCGAACGGTTTCCGGAGGGTGTCCAGCCTCGGGATGTTTTCCAGCAGCTACACCTCGCCGAAGGCGTTCCCGAATGGTCGCCAGAGAATCGAGTTCTGGCCCGATGACCAAATTCAAACCAAATCGGGTCAGATCGCGTAGCGCGTTCCAGCAAGGACGTCGCCTTCAAGGGATCGAAGGAGCGCCTACTGCTCTCGAGGGATCGAGGGCCCAAATCTCCGACGATGTGGTTTTTACACTCCGCTTTTGTTCCTCGATTTGGGCCTCCAGGGCCCTTCATCGGGCCCCAGGACCACCAAAATGGACCCAGGTCGAAAAACGATCCCCCAGGTCGGGACCTCTGGGAGGCGGCGCATCTTACTCGGCGAGAGGAGGTGGAAGGCCAGCAGAAGCCGGCGGAAGCAGGTCGAGGGCGCCTCCCATGGGCGGAGCGCCGACGGAAGGCCCGCAGAGGCCGGAGGAGGCAGAGGATGGGCCCCCGAGAGGTGTCGACGCTGCAGGCATCTGGTTCTCCGGAGACCGCCGGGTAAGAGGAAGGGCTTGGCCATCGAGCACCCATCAGGAGGGGAAAAAACACACAGACACAATGAATCGTCGATTCCCAAGAAAATAAGGGAAAATGTGGGAAGTGGGGGGGGGAAGACAAAAGCCCAGGAAATATGGGAAAATATGGGGGATATGTTTATTTGTGTGTATTTGTTTGTGTGTCCTGGGGCCCCTTCAATCCAGCTGCGCGGCGGGAGCTGAGCACGGGCGCCGACTCCTGGCGGGGCCAGGCTTGGGCCCGGGAGCGGCCGGCGTGCCTCCCGGGCCTCACCCAGGAGGGCGTACGCACGGATCCTGGGCCCAGTCTGCTTGGCATCGCTCGGACGTGTGCGTTTTTCCTTCGGCGAGGGCCATCGAGGAGCATCCTTGATCACTTGGCGAAGAAACCACGCACGAAACCGAAAAGAACACAGGAAATGGACGTCCGAGCGATGGCCAGTCTGGGCCCAGCCTCGCTTGGTGCTTGTGTGTGCATCTCTTTTTTTTTGTCTCTCTCTCTCTCTCTCTCTCTCTCTCTCTCTCTCTCTCTCTCCTGAGTACAAAGGCCCTACGGCCGGCTCCGCCGACCCAGATGGGGGATCGGGAGGCCCCGAGAAGGCCGCGAGGGAGCCGAGACGCGTACAAAGGCAGGCCAACGATTTTCCCGGAGCGGCTTCAGCAGCACCTCGAGAGTGGAGAAAACAGAGCACCGTGCCACCTCTGCATCGAGCCCCTCGGCCCATCCCGCCAGCCTGCCTGGACCGTGGGCGCCCAGACTGAAAAAGTCAGAAGGTCGGAGATAGCTCAGCTCCCTGGCGGCCGTTCAGTTTTTAGGGCGGGCTGGGCGTTTCGCCTGAGACTCCCTCACCATCTATGACTCTGAAACGGGAAAAATTGGCAACATGTTCACAGATGGAGGGCGGGTCGTTTTCAAAATGTGGCTCTCGCCTTAGCGCGGCGCACATTCGTTTAAAGAATTTGCAAGAGTTCCACGGATTGCGGGCGGGCCTTTTTTCAACAATGATTATCGCTTTAGCGCGGCGCACATCCGTTTTAAAGAATTGCAAGAGTTCGCGGATTGAGGGCGGGTGGTTTTCAAAATGTAGTTATCGCTTTAGCGCGGCGCACATTTGTTCTAGAAATTTACAAGAGCTACACGGATTGAGGGCGGCTCCTTTTCAAAATATGGTTCTCGCCTTAGTGGCGCACGTTCGTTTTTACAATTTGCCAGAGTTTCACGGATTCTCATCATCAGCGTGCCAGACATGGTGTTTTGAAAGAGTTCAGGATTATACGGGCTCAACAGTTATGTTGATTCGCTGTGCTGAGGTCCAGGAATGGCGTTCTGGCGCGATTCAGGATTGCCAAAACGCAACAGTCAGGTTGATCCGTGGCGTTGGAATCCCGAGAACAATGTTTTGGTATGCTTCAGGATATTCTAACGGTTGTCTTCCAAAGAGGCAGCTCCTTCAATGGACATGAACCGCTGTAGGGGCCTATGAAGAGGGAGCTTGGAGGGAGGGGTCATTCCAACATCGTTGATGATCCTTGCTTTTACACTGGTCCTCCTTCTCCTCCTCTTCCTCCTCCTCCTCCTCCTCCTCCTCCTCGTCAGCGTTGGAGCCGCGTGCCAGCCGGGGGTCTGCAGCCCCAGAGCACGCGGCGAGGACGCCGACGCCGTCCTCGGCGCGGCGCGCGCGGGCGCCCCCGGCGGCGCGTGCGCGGCCTTCTTCCGCGCCACGCACCCGTGGGCGCCCGAGGAGCTGCGCGGGGAGGCCCCCGCTGCCGGGTCGTTGCGCTCGCCCCTCGCCCTCTCTCTCGCTCGCTGCCCCTCGCCGCCCTGCCCCTTCTCGGCCCTCCTCCTCCTCCCGTCCTCCCCTGCCTCGTCCCGGCCCTCCTCCTCCTCCGCCTCCTCCTCCTCCGCCTCCGCCTCCTCGTCCCCCTCAGGACTCAGGGCTGCCGACGTCTGATCCGTGTCAGGGGCTGCCCTCGCCCCGGCTCCTCCTCGTCCGGGCAGCCAAACATCGCTGGCGGGCGGGCGCGCTACAATAGGAACCCAGCATCACAGCCAAAAGGGGGGGATACCACAGGGTGGAGGGAGAACGAGGACGGGGAAGACAAGAGAGGGCACAGCAGCAGAAGGAGGAGCGAGAGAGGCAAGGAGAGTTGTTCCTCATCCTCCTCCTCCTCCTCCTCCTCGTCCACCTCCTCCTTTTCCTCATCCTCCTCCAACTCCTCCAAATCCTCCAACTCCTCTTCCTCCTCCTCCTCCTCCTCCTTCTCCAACTCCAACTCCAAGTTCTCCTCCTCCGCCTCCTCCTCCTTCTCGTCCTCCTCCGACTCCTCCTCAATTTCCTCCTCCTCCTCCGCCTCCTCCGCCTCCTCCCTCCGTCCTCCTCCTCCGCTTCCTCCGTCTCCTCCTCCTCCTCCTTCTCCTCATCCTCCTCCTCCTCGCTCCTCCTTCTCCACCTCCTCCTCTCCTCCTCCTCCTCCTCCTCCTCCTCCTCCTCCTCATCATCATCATCATCATCCTCATCCTCATCCTCAACCTCAACCTCAACCTCTTCCTCATCTTCCTCCTCCTCCTCTTCCTCCTTCTTCTCTGGTCTCTTCCTCCTCACCTCATCCTCATCCTCGTCCTCTGGCCGCCTCGTCCTCATCCTCCGCCGCCTCTCCTCATCATCCGCCGCCGCCTCCTCCTTCTCCTCATCCACCTTCTTCTCATCATCATCCTCATCCTCATCCTCGTCCTCATTCTTCTCGTCTTCCTCCCATTCCTCCTCATCCTCTTCCTCCTCATCCTCCGCCTACTCCTCTCCGCCTACTCCTCCTCCTCCTCCTCCTCCTCCTCCTCCTCCTTCTCCTCCTCCTCGTCCTCCTCCTCCTCGTCCTCGTCCTCCTCATCGTCATCCTCATCTGCCTCCTCATACTCCGCCTCTTCATCCTCCTAATCCTCCTCCTCACCCCCTCCTTCCCCTCATCATCATCCTGCTCCCCCACATCATCACCATCATCAACAGCATCAGCAGCATCACCATTATGATCATCACCCGCATCCTCCTCATCATCATTTTCCTCCTCCGCTTCCTTCTCCTCCGCCTCCTCCTCCTCCTCTCCGCCTCATCCTCCTCCTCCTCCTCCTCCTCCTCTTCATCTTCCTCATCCTCCTCCTGATCCTCCTCCTCTTCCTGCTCCTGCTCATCCTCCTCCTCGTCATCATCCTCATCCTCCTCATCATCATCACCTCCTCATCATCCTCATCCACATTCGCATCCCCCACTTCCTCCTCCCCATCCTCATCCTCCTCCTCATCATCATCAGCATCTTCATCCTCATTGTCCGCCTTATCTCCCTCCGCGTCTTCCTCATCTCCCTCCTCATCCTCCTCTTCTTCATCGTGTTCTTCATGCTTCGCTTCCCGTATTGTCCCTCCTCGTATTCCTCCGCCTCGTATGTTTCGTCTTCCTCCGCCTCGGCGTCCCTCTCATCCTCCTCCTACTCCGCCTCATCATCATCCTCCTTCGTAGCATCCTCATCGTCCTCCTGCTGCTCAGCAGCATCATCATTAGCATCAGCACCATCATCATCATCATCATCATCATCATCATCATCATCAGCATCATCAGCATCAGCATCATCAGCAGCAGCATCAGCATCATCAGCAGCAGCATCAGCATCATCGTCATCAGCATCAGCATCAGCAACATCACCATCTTCCTCCTCGACATCCTCCGCCTCCTCATCCTCCTCCTCACTCATCATCCCCCTCGTCCTCCTCACCATCATCCTCCCCCTCAGCTCATCCGACTCCTCACATTCTTCCTCCTCACCTTCCGCCTCCTCCTCCTCATCATCCTAGTCGTCCTTCTCAGCATCATCC